CTAAATTTTCAGTACATTCTTGAAGTGTTTCACCATGTATAATAATATCGTCAAAGTAAGATTCTGTTTTTGGTAACCCTTTGAGAGTTTGAGAAAGAATGCGATTGAATTTTGATGGTGCTGTCTTGATTCCAAAACTAAGCCTATGCATGCGATACGTACCACGATGTGTTGAAATGGTCTGTATCATGCTACTATCTTCATCAACTTTTAAATGTAAGTAGGCTTTAAATAAATCAAGTTTACAAAAATATCTTGAATTTCGAAGACTATGAAGCACATCATCTATCCTTCTTACTGGATGATTTGATTGAATTAATCGTTCATTGACTCCACATTTGTAATCAACACATAATCGGACGCCACCGTTTGGTTTTGGAATGACAACCAATGGTGACCCCCAATCACTCGCAGGCACTAAGGATATTATTCCATCTGCCTCAAGAGAGTCCAATTCTTTATTGACGCGGTCCCGGAGAGCATAAGGAACGTCACGCTCCCTAGTAAAAATGGCTTTTGCTCCATCCCTAAGTTGAAGTGATACTTGAAAATGAGGGACGCAACCAACTCGTTCTTCAAAGAGGGGTGAAAATTTTTCCAAAAGTGAATTGAGAGGGTTGATTTGATACACTGGTGATTTATGAATTGAAGTGTTTGATATATTAGCATCTATTTGTAAAAGTTCGATTTCTAAGGCTCGAATCCATTGACGGCCTAGAATAGCTGCACATCCAGCTGGAACAATATGAAGTTCACCTGTAATGTTTTTGTTTTGAAATGCAACATTTACATGCACTTTCCCCTTGGGTTGAATGATATCTCCAGAATAAGTACGAAAAGCAATGTTTGATTTTTCCAAGGGCACATTTAAATTTAAACGTTCAAAATCAGTTTCTGAAAGTAGGGAAAACTTTGCTCCAGAATCTACTTCGAAATGTTGTAGCTTCCCATTGAGGTATACAGAGACGATATATTTGTCAGAGTCATGGCAAACTTCAAATAAATCTATAACTTTATAGCATGGTGAAGAGCTGTGAATAGAGTTGACACCAAATGTAATATTTTGATCATGTACTTCAGTTGAAACAGCATGAAGAGAAGGTCTGGGACTGGAATTCATTGACTTTCGTGGCATCTTAATTAAAGTTGAAATGCAGACTTTACTAACATGACCTATTTTTTTGCATGAATCACATTTTAGTTTAGTTTTATTAATTCGACAATCTTTGACTTGGTGATTATTTCTGCCACATCTGATGCATAGATTTTCAATACCAAGGGCTCTATAATCTGGTTTCTGGCGTTGAGAACTAGATCGTGAACTGGAACGATTTCTATGACGTGCTGAGAAATTTGAAACTTTATTATTGTCACTTAAAGCGTAAGAAGTAGAGCGTGGAGAACCTTTTTGAGTGAGTTCTTTACTTTCGATTTTGGACGCCTCCAGAGCAATCGCCTTTGATAAGACATCATCGAAAGTTATTAAATCTGATTGTAGCACCTGTTCGCGCAACCAGTCATCACGCAATCCTCGAATGAACTGAGCCCGGAGAAAAACATCTGCAATTGTTACTGATTTATCACAGTCACATTTCACAGAAAATTCGCATTCAACTATATCACGTTGCAAAGCAGCTACAAATTCTGAAATTGATTCATGTTCTTTTTGATATATATTTAAAAAATAATGTTGAGAAACAACTACATTTTTTCTAGGAATTAGCATTTGCTTGAAAGCTTTCACAAGATTATCATGTGATAATTGTTTGACTGGTTTCTCTGGTCCAAGAAAAGCTGCCAAATTATTATAGTGTGATGAACCAATAGATACACATAGAAGTTGAGCAATTTTATCTTTATCAATAACACCCTTCATAGAACAATAATTTTCAAATCGTTCTAAATAGCATGAAAATTTTTCACGTTTTGAATCATAATTTTCAAAAGGATGCACATTAACAAGATTTACTGATGAATCAATAGACTGTTCTTTTGAAAAATGTTTTTCGATTTGTGCTATCATTGCTTGTTGTTGCTGATTAAATGCAGCAATAAATGTTTGGAATTGTTCAGCATTCATTATTTATTTATTGAAAGTTTGAAAAAATAGTTGAAAATTTAAATTAATTACAGTACCTGAATTCAATTACTTGAAACATTTCCGTTTTGAAATTTCATCCATTTTGAAGCTTCGTTTTTGAACGATGTTGAAATTCTATTGATTATTTCTTCTTATTTTTCTCCTCGTCGCCAAAACTGTTGTGACCGTTTATTGTATGGCATGGGATATGTATTTAGGATGATTGACAATGATAGGACTAATGTTGATAACTTATAACGTAACAATAACTTTATTCACAATACGTACATAGAACACATCAACAACAGAACATACTGGAAATCGAAACTGAAACATACAATGTAAACACATTTGCAGTTACATCACAACAGCGATACTAGCGCCAATGGGAATTACATGGAAGATCTCAACAGTCTCGAAATGTCTGTCACGGCAGTGTCGGTACACATGACCTGGACGACCGCAGTGATAACACACTGGCCTGTTATCCTCTGTTCTCCAGATATCAGTTTTGAGACGGGGTAGTTGAGAACGGCGAGTCTCATAAGTTTGCTGAGAAGAAGAAACTAGAATTCTAGATGGCTGACGGCGTAGTGCGTGCTTCTGAGTACGAAACAGGTATCGTTGATTTAAAACTATCGAAATCTTTGTTTCTGTTGAAGTTTGTTTCGGTCATGGACGCTAAGGTCTTCACAATTTCATGTCGTATAACCTCTTCTAAATTGTCAATTGTTGGTTCAGGAGTTGGAACAGTAACAGGAAATAGTCGGGCGATTTATTCTTGTAGCACTTGGTGTATCATTGACAAAATTGTCTTCAAGGGACTCAACGAGAACGGCATTTGGAAATCTTTCAAACTTCCTTCGATTAAGGAGCCGCTGCTGCACACACGAGTCGACATGTTGACAGCGTTCAATGAAAGAGGTAGTCCTTGCTACTACTTAAGTCAGTAGAACTTGATAAATATTTTCCACGATGCCCTTCATAAGATGAGAAACCTTGTCTGCTTCACTCATGCTAGGGTTGACACGATAGCATAATCCCAGTACTGCTTGTATGTATAAAAGACTTGTTTGTCCTGGTAGTTCAGTTCTGGTTTTCAATTCTTCTTCCACCCGATGTACTGATTGCAGACTATCAGAGCGTGTACCTTTCAAGCTAGTTTGGAACACTTCCCATGATATTAAAATGTCTTCATTATTTTCAAACCACTGTTTGGCTGTTCCACTTTGAAAAAAGTAGACATTTGCAAAGCATGTTCCGTCGTCCCAACCCGCAGCGGCCCCTAACCCATACATCATGAAATATTTACAGGTTGAATTACAATCATTTTGATTTATGCAGCGTTTAGGTAGCAAAACAAAAGATCAAGCATATTTGCTTGATAAATTAAACATGATTTGATATTTAGTATGAGTCATGATTTATGAATTAATCAGAAATTTTCATGAATATAAATAGCACAATTGATATTTAAGTATGTATTGAATCATGATATATATATTACTAGCACAATAGTTATTTAAGCATTGAGTGGGATTGAATTTGATGCAATCATAACTTGTGAAATAAGTATGAATTGAATTAAGATATAAGCAAGTACAATTGATATTTGAATGGAATTTAAGTTTGATGCAATCATAAGTTGTGATAAATTATGAGTAAAATTAGGATATATATAAATGCAATTGACAATTTAGCATTGAATAGAGTTAGAATTGTGTAATTTTGAGTTGTAAGACAAATATGACATGATATAAGATAAATTTACAGAAGTTTTGTTTAACATTGGTGGCGCCACCTATCGGATACAGTAAGCAATTTAATTGAGCTGGTTCACTTTTTTCATTGAAGAAGAATTTGATAATCTAAATAATTTCACTGATGCAAGAGTTCAGAATGGATAGTCCGGAATTGGGCATGAGTATGACATTATGGAGCATTATCTCTAATGATTCTTTGCAGTAATTGGAGTACCTCTTCATTCTTTATGAGTTCTTTTATTATTATGACAAGTCTGCGAGCCAGACCCACTGTTGTTGTGGGAACAGGACAAGAGCCCTTCCTGGTGGGACGGGCTGTGCACCCAGTGTAGTTTGCGGTGTGGGATTCACTACAGTTGCAACATTTTGGTGGAGTGTGTCTGTCCTTTCGGCATTCGTGGGAGCGATGATTGCCAGCGCATTTCACACATCTTGAGGCTGCATTGCATGATCTTTGAGTGTGGTAATGTTTTAATGCTTGGCAATTAAAACATTGAATTGATCCACGACCCTCCCCCCCCCCGAAATCTCTCTATTCTGACTGGAATACTTTGAATAGTGGTGATGGAGTTAATTTGCTGATTTTGCACTGTATTTTTAAGAATTATGAGAAAAAGTGGGAGGAGCCTATAGGCCTCGCCCACTTTTCTCTTAAACTGTATGACTTTATGAGTTGTAATGCCTGTTTTTGTCAGTTGATGGGAGATTTCATCTGTTTTATATTCTGTTGACAGTCCACGGAGTAAAACTTTAATATGTATGGCTGGATGTGCTTGTACAGAAGTTATGGGTTATATATATATATATATATATATATACAGAGCAAGAGAGAGAGATAAATGTCTGTTTTTTGAGATAAATGTAATTCAATTCTTGTAAATAGAAAGAAAATTCTGAAAATCTTCAACAAACAAAAACTAAAAAAACTAATAGTTATTTGATTGAATAGCAGATAACAGCACTACAATTTTATATTGCTAAATTTTTTTAAGCAATAAGTGTAAATCAGTAATTTCCAAAGTTTTTGAGCTGAATATTTTTAATAAAAATTATTTTACTGTTTTAAGCTATTGAAACAAGACTTATTTATTATTTTATATATTTGAATTTTTAAATGCAATTGCTTTTGTTAGTCATTCATTTTTTCTACCTTTCAGTGTTTCTTTGTTCTGAGGAAAAAACAACGACAAGTGTCATTTCTTCACGTGTTTCACCATTCAAGCATCATTATTATTGCTTGGGGTGTTATCGGAACAAAGAGTGCAGGTACAATTGGAACTGTTATTAAAATCTATTCAACAGCTACAGTCAAAGATAGAATGAATTAAAAAGAATGAAAAGAAATAACTAATAAAATAGTAAAAACTAATAACGATTTAAACTTATAACGTTTTTTGAATTCCAGCTCTTAATTTATATTTTTGTTCGGAAGAAGAAGAAAAAAAGCAAAACCCTTAGAATCACATGCGAGATATTATACAAATGACGGTCCCATATGCAACGAAGACAAAATTCGATCGAACTACATAGGCTTTTGCTCGATTGATTCGAAAAAATAAATTATAATTATAATATAATTTTTTACAATATATAAAAAATAAATAAATTATAATTATTTTATCTCATTACAATTCTTGATACTGACCAACGTTTTCTGTTCTGCTTAGATGTATGTATTTTTTAATGCATACGTATTTCGAAAATGTTAAAAAGTACTTTCACAATATTCTAAAATTTTAAAACGCGTCATCATAACATCTTAAAATGTTAAATAAATACAATCTTAAGAATGAAATCTCATCGTTATTGTATCTGAAATAGTTGAAAATAATTATTCTAAGTGAGAAACCAACTATACCATTCTATTTAAATAAAAAATAATAATAATAAAATATTCTTTAAAAAAAATGAAGCAAACATTTACAAATATTAAAAACGTTCAAGTAATATTTTAGATAATTACAGATACAAATAAAAAGATCGAAACTTTGTGAACAGACGCTTATTTGAATGTTAAAGAATCTACCACAACTGAGAAAAAGCATATGAATATTTTCATAGACGGAGAAATCTCTGCGGAAAGAGATAATCCATGGACAACGCTGATAGAAATCTATTATTACAGTTGAATTGCAAAACCGAAAGATGCGAGGGGTTGCTAGTGACGATTGTTTGAGTCGAATTTAAATTTCATACGGGAATAAAAACAGTTTATATGTTTTCAATCCTGCTTTTTATCAATAGTACTTTGTCAGGCAAATGTTAAAAATTCCCATGGTTTTATTGATGTTCCCTATGGTTTAATTAAAAGTACCGGAGGAAAGTTTTAGTTACTATCATTGGTAGGCCTCGAGCGATAATGTAGTAGTGTCTTTTTATGAACACGTGGTTCTTTATCGTTCGAAAAGAATATTAATGTTCACCGACTGTCCTAAAATCATCCCTTTTTTCTGTATATGCAGGCAAAACTATAGTAGGAACCACAGTTTCTTTTCAACTCTGTTTTCACGTTATTCAAATAGTAATATGTCTTGCCTCTATTTTGTCAAGATGATCTTCACAATTTATTTAAATCCGTCCTCGATGGTAGACAGTTCCTATATATTCACTTCGCAACTCATTCACTTTTTTTTTAAAAAGTGTTTGCCTTTCAGTTCAACTAACTATCGATGTCCGTTGAGATTGTTATCTTCATTAATTGTATCTATAGTCCTAATTGCAGGCTCCACGAACAAAGAATCTAAATAATATGCTGTTTAGTATTCTAATGACGGACCAGTTTGAATTTATTATTGCAGTAGTAATTAAAGTTCGAAAAATTTGTTATCGCTCACTTCATTCAAAGGCAGTTAAAAACCATCTGGAAAAAACCATTTGGCATCAAAGTTGGCGAGACCATTGGGACTTCCTGAGATAAATGCGCTAACCTGGATTCAAACGATGTTTTTAATCAAATTTAGGTATTCAGTTAGTTTAACATTAGTGTTCTACTATTCCATTTGATGTACAGATTGTTCTCTATTATATATATATCAAGGAAAAAGCCTGAATCTGGGGTTTTACCGGTTTATTACTCAATTTTGACCCTTTACCAAACTTTTACCGGTAAAACCTAGGACTCAATAAATAACAGACTTGGGGTTTTTACAGTAATATTTATATATCCAATTTTGATCTTTAGCTCACTATTCTTGCGTGGCTGCTGGTTTAAATTCCTTCGTCCATGTGTGCACCTATTCCTATTATGCCCTCTCAGCATGCGGTGACAAGATGCAAGATATAATCAATTCGAAAAAAAAGTATCTCACTTTCCTCCAGGTTGTAAGTATTTATCCAAGGATATTATGTTTAAAAAAATCAACCTTTAAAAGCCATTTCAAAACAACCACTTCTGAACAAAATCAGTGTTTTACACACACACACACGCACGCACACACAGATATATATATATATATATA